GGGTGTTTTAATTATGTTGTTATCCTTTAGTCACATCCTACTTCATACATAATTATCAAACAGCTATATCGACAAATTTAGTTGAAATAGTTGATGATGAGGAACCAACTCTAAAGTAATAAAGTTTTAAAATTATGTACTTAAAATCATTGGGTGTTTTAATTATGTTGTTATCCTTTAGTCACATCCTACTTCATACATAATTATCAAACAGCTATATCGACAAATTTAGTTGAAATAGTTGATGCCAGGTTTGTGTGTTTATACCAGGTGTTCCATGTTAGAAGGGATGGTAACTGTATGTTATGTAAAAAGGAAGAGATAACCAGGTGTTTTATGTCAGAATATAGAGGTAATTGTACATTTATTATTTAAAAAGAGGATATAATCAAGTTTGTATTTGTGATCCACAAGATTATGTTTCAGAATATCTATTATCACAAAGAAATATGTAATTGTTTGTTGTTAAGTGCCTATTATCATTAAATTGAACTTCAGATAAATAATGTATTTTTTATTTTCCTAATGTATAACACAAAAAGTTAATTATCACTTTTCCTTGTGTAATAAGGCACTGTTATTAACCATCTTTGAGCAGCTGTATATGGATTGTTCGTGCTTTCTGTCTTCTTTTATAACGATGAAGAACTCGAGTGTATAAGTCATGATCTATAAAAGTAGACTAAATTTCCATCCTGATGTAATGCCATCTGTTGAATATGGACTGCTTATGCTTTCTGTCTACTTCTTTATTCACAAACTTAGAATCCAAAGCATTATGTTAAAAAGTATTCAGAAACTATTCACTTTGTAACACACTATCTGAAACTTTGTTTAAAGGACCTTTAGCCTCTGATTTTAACAGTCACAGAATTGATTACCTCCTGCCCTTTCTTACTTAATACTGCACTCCTGTTGGCCATAATAATGCAATACTTTTGGCCATCCTTCCTTACCCTGAAGTTTCTAGTAACTGCTAGTTTAACTGTCGTAATTTCTATGAATGTTCCTGTTTATTATGAACTTGCATAAGTTGGAATAATTTTAGTTGTTTAAAAATAAATTAAATACTGTGTAAAAGTATTGTTTAATGTATTTTTTCTATTATTTGAAAGAACATGGTCAGACAGGGAAATTCGAACAGTCTTAACCCATCTGTACAACCTGCCACTAGAATATGCCAAAATTCAAGAATTTGAGGCTAATATGGTCAACTGTAGCAAACATTTAGCAACAGGATATATTGAAATCTCTACACCACCATATGAACGATATTTGGATTCAAAGCTGGTACGTTATATTTAATAACAGGATATGTTGAAATCCCTACACCACCATATTTTGTGTCAGAGCTGTTATGTAATCATTGAAATTTATGTTTTGTTATTTCTTTACATTTTCACAATTGAAGATGTAACAGTCACATCTTCTGGTTAAGAGATTGTTTTCTCAGCAAAAGATTTTAAGTGGTAATTCCTCCCATAAGTGGAGGATGATGTGGAAGAAACTGGAGGTGGATAAAATGTCATATTCTAGTTTTAATACAACTAGTGTTGTAGGTTTAGCTTTCTTCAACTCTACATTCTTCTGGTTATTAATTCAACGTATTCCTGGTTGCACCGAACTAGTGAGGTATTTAACAGACATTATGTCTTTAAATTTGAAGAGCACTTTTAACCTAGACTGTTTTAAAGACTCCTTTTAACTGATAAATATTTTGAGTTGGTAATGAAGAAAACTTTATTACAAGTTTAACATAGTAACAGATGTACAACAGTTTGACAAGTTATCCAATAATGACAAAACCTTTCAAAATGTTGTTTTTGTTACTATGTTAAACTTTTATAATACATTTCTTAATTACCCATTCAAACTGTCTTCAAACTTTAGAGTTGGTTCCTCATGGGATGGTAACTGTATGTTATGTAAAAAGGAAGAGATAATTCCTGACAAGGAACACCTAGTTTCAATGAACATATCTCATCTTACAGGGCTAATGACAGTTGAAACATTTGAAAACCTCAAAAAGTATCTCACATTATTGATCTACCAAGGCTAATGACAGCTGCAACTGTAGTTTTACCAGGCTTTTATGCATTTCTTTTGTGGTTTGGCAACCTAAGCCAAGTGAGCAAGGGAATGAAGAGGAAAGATAGACAACCATAAACATTCTTTTGTAATGCATAAAAAACTATACCATTCCTTGTAAATAGTTAATGATTACTGTAGATATTTTAAACACTTAAAAAATGAATGATATCTGTATAACACTTACCCTGAATGATCAGTGTCAAATCTGTCAAATATTTCTTTTATTGAGATATTTTGTTTTTCACTGATGAGAAAGTAGAAATATGAGAAAGCAAACTGCATGTCTCTCCCACTACGTATCTTACGTGCTGAGGTAGCATCAAACTCTTTGGGAAATCTTACATATAATGAAAATACATGATTATAAATAATGACATAATACTACTGATGTATTAACTTTTAGTGTTGGCATAAATTATGACAAGCTCAATTTTACAAATGATTGACTGCACTTTATTTGAAGAATCTGCAAATGCTTATGCAATGGTATGTTGCTGAAGATGTGAGTGGTGGTTTAGAGACAATATATTCAGTTCATGGTAATCTTCTATTAATTATGGTTAGAATTAGATTGTCTGAAAAGAAGAAGTCATCAATGTTCTGTTGGTAATAGAAAACCTTGCAAAATAGAATGTTTAAG